CTGCCTGACCCAAAATGTGGAGACTTACATTTTTCCACCACAACTCACTTTTTCAAACATCAAACCACTGATTGACTAAATCATTGATTTAATCATTGATCATATCATTACTGTGTTAAGAAAAAGGAGCTACTTTTAATAAAAAGTGTAAATCTCTTTAGAACACTAAGGAAAGTGCCTAGAACATAGTATGCACTTAATAAATGCTACGATCATATCATTACTGTGTTAAGAAAAAGGAGCTACTTTTAATAAAAAGTGTAAATCTCTTTCGAACACTAAGGAAAGTGCCTAGAACATAGTATGCACTTAATAAATGCTAGCTGTCATCATCATTCTTCGAAAATTTATTTATTTTTCTACAGTTGTCTAAAAAACAAACAGAACCCCCCCAGCAAAATATTTTTTAGCAACACTTTAAAAGTCTGACCCTGAGTAAGAATATGGATTCACAGTTTCTATTAAATGTCAAATAAATTTTAATTTTGAAGCTATAAAACATAGCTACAAAGTATCTAGGAAAAATAGCTCAACTCCTTTTCTTCTGAAAAAGAGGAAAGACAAAGCTGTTGCAGAAATTTAAAAAAATCTATGTTTAATAGGTTTGGAAAGCTTTACTTAAACAGAAGTTTTCCAGGGGTACAGTGTATAAAAACAGATTAATTTATTCTTACCTTGGCTGAATATGTTTAATTATCATTTTTTAAAAATCAAAGGTATATTTTCTGTATTCGATTCAGTAGACTTTCCATAGAAGCTCCCCAAAGCAAACTTCCCTTCCTTCCAGATTCCCCATTATATTTGTGCAAATATTCAAAAAGTCTGTGGAAGGATTTGCATTACCTTTTAACTACATCTTTCCACAGACTTTCTGAAGTGCCCTCATAGCTGCCATTCAGGGGTTCTTGAAAGCTTTCACCATTCACCAGGCAACACACGTGTAGTGACAGGTGCTGTCCTAGGTGCCAGGGCCACACGAGGGAGGCAAGCACAGAAATCCCCCAAATGAGATGTCATTTCCCCAGTCTACTGCTGAAGAACCCACCTTGCAAATCTAAGTCTCTCAGGGGGTGGGAGCAGGGATCAGCTTGCTGACATGACCAACCAAGAAATGTCAGGAAGAGAATAAAATGGGGAAATAGGGTGAAGAGGGACCAGGGGACATGACTCTTCTGATGACAGAGGAGCCCAGAAGGCAGAGAAGGCAAAGGGGGCAGGCAGGGGCTGGCATGGAGACTTTTTCACATGTTTAACAGGACACCATTCGGGAATCTCAGGCATAATGTTTTCTCCATCAAAAAGACTCTATACATCCCCTTGAATGACCTCCCCTCATCTCAAATGTGATGTCCTGATTACCCAGAATGGTGCTTTTCCTGGAGATCCTGCTCTGTTGATATGACCACATTCCTGCATCCTCTGTGGGCAGCTACCTGGACACTGCACAAAATCTTCCCTTGCTGTCCCGCCGTGCTAGTTTTCTGTCGCTGCATAACAAATTGCCACAAACATGAGGCTTAAATGACACCCATTTACTACCCCACAGCTTCTGTAGGTCAAAGTTCAGGTCAGCTCAGCATCTCATGAAACTGAAATCAAGGTGTTGGCTGGGTTCCTTTCTGGAGCTGGGGGGTCCTCCTTCAAGCTCACGTGGTTGTTGGCAGAATTTAGTTCCTTGTGGCTGCAGGACTGAGGCTACCTTTCTCTTGCTGGCTGTCAACCAGGGGCCACTCTCAGCTCATAGAGGCTACCCAAAATTCCTCTCCAGGTGGCCCCTTCCATAGACCCCAATCTCTCTGAAATCTTCCATCTTTGACCTCAAGACCTACATTTAAAGGACTCACAGGATTAGGTCAGGCCTGCCTGATATCATTTTTGATTAACTCAAAGTCAAATGATTAGTAACCTTTATTATATCTGCAAGATCCCTCTTGCCATGTAACCAAACATAATAATGGCATAACACCAGGAAACAGACAACATGGGGCCATCTCAGCGTTCTGCCTATCATGCCCTGATTTGCCATGCTCCTTAGATTTGTGTTCCTTTCTGTTCACTCTGTTCCTTCCCCAACTCTCCCCACAGTGGACAACTCATAACTCTCCCGACACCTTGCACACATCCACACCCCCAAGCTTTTGCCCATGTGGTTCTCGCTGCCTTGAATGCCTTTCCTTCCATGGGGATCTCGTCCTTCAAGGCCCAATTCAACATCCCTTCCTTACACTGACTTTCATGCCCTTCTCAGGCAGTACTCCATGCTTCTCAGAGAAGCTTCTGTCTGTGCTGATCACATAAAGTGCCAGTGCTGTCTCTGGAGCTGGGTTTACCAGGTTCCAGGTCTGGCTCTGATACTTACAAACTAGTTAACTGAGCTTCTTTGTGTCTCAGTTTCCTCATTTGTAACATAGAGTTGACAAGGGTGTTTGTGTCATGGGGCTGTTGTGGGAGTTACATGCGTATCCTTCATGTGGAATGTATGTGAAATTAGTTTTCCATTCTGAAAAAGAGGTAGCTGGGGTATTAAATGTATGTAAAATCTGATATGCTGAACAACTGGTAACTTCATTTTTTCATATTGGGTTTCTTTATATTCTCAATTAAGGGATAAAACCTAAAGCAGAACCATGAACTCCAGATTCAGCACTGATTTGAGCAGCATGACATAGATGTTCCTTCTTAATAAATAAAATGCTGATTCAATAAATATTTAAAATTAATCCTGCCAATGCTGGCAACCACCTAGTGGTTAATTTCGCCTCAGTTCCTTAGTTGAAATTAATATAACCACAGTCCCTGACTTGTCTAAAATGCATGTTTGTTTTTAAGGCAACAGCTCCTACCCTGTGCTAGGTAAAGTCTGATTGAGACCACAAAGAAAACAAAACCAAACCATGTGTGATATCCGTGTCTAGCGTGCTTTTTCAAAGTGTGTTAAGAAACACAGCATCCCCCCATATGAAACCAGAAGTTTTTTTTTTTTTTTTGGTTAACATCCTTTGTAAAACTAACATGAAAGTGTTGGAATCAAAATAAGTCTGGAGCTAAACTCTGTTAGCACTGCGGAGTTATGTCTGACGGCTCATAGGAAGAAAGTACCCGGCAGAAATGAAGCTATTGGAGACAGGATAGGTATTTGCAAATATTAAAAGGAGTATCTTACAAGAGGCTATATGAAGTCAGGATAGGCAAATTGCTTCCATCCCTCTGTTCAGACTAATACATTCATTTATGAGGGGTAGCTAGTCAAACATTCACTGATAAAACTGTAGGGGTTTCTTGCATGTGCTCTGAAGTTGAACATAAAATAAATGGACATTGTATTTTGGGAGATTAAAAAATCAAGTCATTTTGCCAGATGGAGACAATATCCTCACTAGAGCTGGTTCTCAGAGACCCAGAATATGGTGGAAAGTGTTAACCCTTTGTTTGGAAAATCAATAACTAACCACTGAGAACTCTTCACGTCCAGATATTCTGGCTTCTAGGTACTGCTATAGAAAGGAAAGGCATTAGTCCTATGGACGTCTTTTGTTAGACAATAGGTAGCCCCCGGGGTCCTACCTGTGCTATTTAAGTCAGTTTCCCAGTCCCTGGCCAGCCCCTGCATTCAGACAAATCTTGCCAATGCCCACCCACGTGAAATCCCACTGCCCATCTTGTTTGCTTCGGAATTTGTTCGCAACTCTGTGATAAGCAGGTAGTAAAGAGAGTGACCCATAGTTATATTAGGGGAAAGGGAAAGCCATCTTGAATATCTGCTATTAGAAATTTTAACCATTTACTTTTTGGTGGCTGGCAGTACAGAAATGGAACCCTGGACCTTGGTGTTATCAGCATCATGCTCTAACCCGCTGAGCTAACTGGTCAGCCCTGCTATAGGAAATTTTAAAAAACAAATTTTCAAATATTTGAATTCCTATAATTTTTAACTGTAACTCCCTATATTTCTGAATATAACATGTGCTTTACTAAAGATGGCTATGAGTAGAATCTAATTTTTAAATCTACAGACTGAAAGACAAAGGTTGGGCCTAAGATCTTTATATACTAACACCTAACAGCAGGCATAGGCAGTAACGAGTACCTCCCTTTTGATAACATCTGGTATCTACTTGGCTCCGACTTCATGCCATGCATGCTTCTGAGCCCTGCACACCAACTCGTCCCACCATATCACAGTACCGAGAGGCAGGAGTTATCATTAGCCCCCCTCGTCCATAAGAGAAAACAAGACTTAGAGACGTGGGCAGCTCAGCCAGGGTCACACGCCCTGCACAGGGTGCACAGGGTTTCAAATGTAGGCAGACACTCAGGGGGCACTTCCTCAGAAACAACCACAGCAATGCACACTAGGCAACACCTTCACGTGCTTCTGGGGAGGTCCCGAAACACATGCGTGCCCCAGAAGTCACTGGTGACCATCTGTGCTCACTGCTGGAAGCACTGCCCTTTATTTTATCCTCAAATGTGTACAAGTGTCTGTATACATAGGTCCCGAAACACATGCGTGCCCCAGAAGTCACTGGTGACCATCTGTGCTCACTGCTGGAAGGACTGCCCTTTATTTTATCCTCAAATGTATACAAGTGTCTGTATACATAAACAGTACCCTGCCTATTTTGCACATTTGTTTGGGGGGATTAAAAGCGGTCACAAATACTGCAGTTTTCTGAAAGCCAGTGGATGTTCTACCAATATAAGGCTGTGTGTGAGGAGTGCTCATTTTAGAAATCAGAGATCAAGCATCTAATGGTTCATTGACTGAAGCCCTCTATAGCAACTTGGGGCAGAATCAGAAATAGAACTCAATGCTTGTTTCCTTGAAACTTCCAGGCACATGCCCAGGTGACAACAGAAGACAGCAGTGCTCCACACAGGCTCCTGCTGACTGTGATAGGACCACCGAGAGCTAAGAAAGATGGGACCACAGACTCTTCATTCAATGCATATGAACACTATTCAGACAAGGTGGGTAAAGAGAAACAGTTCTTATTTACCTGAGGACCTGAAAACAATAATCCTGTCACTTCGTGCTTCACCACGGCAGCATTCCCAGGGATGTTCCGAGCCAGCACTGGAACTTCCAAGTCCATTGCCTAGAAGAGACAGGAGGAGAAACAGGTGGTGATCGTTCTAAGAGCTTCTGTGATGGGATGAGCCAGTTTGTGGAAGAATAACTTCTTAGGATAACTGGACCTCTGGCACCTCACAGAAAATAAACCTTGCCAAATGATATCCCAATCTCAATACTGCCTTTCTAAAATATGTCTGAATTTTAACTACTGACCGTATTTGGAAGTTCTGAAAAACTATACACTAGAATAGTTTGTCTGACATAATTTCTGCAATGTCACAAAGAAACCCATCTCTCCCAATGTTCACCTGACACTTCTTCATCCACTGTTTGGAGTCTACATTTTTAATTATCGTCATTACTTTCCCTGATGAGTAATTTTTTTCCAGCACAGACAGTATGAATGCCACAAGGACTGAACACATTGCTCGGGCATGAAAACAGTAAGAAGAAAGTGATTTATCATTCCCATTATTCACAAAGCAGACTTTCCATTCCCAAAGGTCTGGGGGTCTGCATGGCACCCCTGGCCTGGCACAAAATGGTAGTGAAACCACAGGAAGGTGCCCTGAAAGCACAACGTGCAGAGTTGGCCTTGCCTACTTAGTGGGGTTCCCATTATTCACAAAGCAGACTTTCCATTCCCAAAGGTCTGGGGGTCTGCATGGCACCCCCGGCCTGGCACAAAATGGTAGTGAAACCACAGGAAGGTGCCCTGAAAGCACAACGTGCAGAGTTGGCCTTGCCTACTTAGTGGGATGGTGTGTTTCTGGTTCTCTTTCTACAGTGCTCAGAGATTAATGATATCATGTCGAAAAGAAACAGGAGCCAGCTTCAAGGGGATCCTACTGACTGTAGTGGGGCAATTTTTTATTTTCAAAAAGAATAATGATTGTAATAGATTGTAACACACTAAATAAAAAAAAAAAACACGATTCCCTAATGATGAGAGAGAAACAGATAAAAAGGAGGAGGAGAAAGAAGAGTAGAATTAGAAGGAGGAAAAGGAAAAGCTCTTCTTTATATGAGCTAACAAATGTGGATAGGATGGCAGAATTAGAAAAGCATCACTTTGTAACCCCTAATATAATAACCGACTCAGCCTAGGATCATCAAGAGACGTCCACTTCATTGGGTGGAAGGATGCTGGGAAACAAGATAGTCACAAATCCCAAAGTCCCAACCCATAGATGACTTATCAATTATAAAGGAGAAATGTGCCTTTACAATGGAGGATGCCTTTACAATGTCACCAACAGTAGGGAAACCCAACGTTACGTGCTTCCTGATTTGATACCCTGGAGGTACACAAGATTGCCCAGATCAGGATCCAGCTGGGAGGGTTTGATCTAAATCTAATCATGAGGAATTGTGCCAGACAAATCTAGAATGTGGGGTGTTCTGTAGGACAACTGACCAGGACTCTTCGGAGGACTCAATCACAATAAGAACTAAGAGAAGGTAGGTTGGGGGGACTAAAGAGACATCAAGCCAAATGCAATGTGCCAAGGGGGAGCAGATTCACATAAAAAACAAAAATAACACTTTGGAGAAATTAAGTATGGGGTGCATATTGAGTAATGTGATCGAGCTGATGTTAATTTTCTCAGGTGTGGTGATGTGTGTGGGAGAACGCACCTGTTCTTGATAGTTCCAGGGTGACGTATTAGAAGTGTTGTGATCAACTACCTCCTTTCAGATGATTCAGCAAAAATGTGTGTGTGCGCGTGCGCACAGAGGGACAGAGAGAAAGACAAAGGGAGAGGGAGAAGGAAGGAGGTGAAACACAAAGGTGAATATAGGAGAAGGGTATACAGGCATTCATTGCACAATCCACTTCTGTGGATTTTAAACTTTCAAACTCTGAAGCTAACCTGCCTCAGTTTGAATCCTGGTTCTGCTGCATTCTAGCTGTATGATCTTGGACCAACATCTCAACCTCCCATGGCTGTTTGATTGTTTCCCCTGATGCAAAATAGGGATGATAAAACCTCCTACACGAAGGGTGATAGGGAAGATTAAATAACTTAAAACTAAAGAACTTAGATCCATTCCTGGGGATTGTCATCATTGCTAATGGGATTAAAGTTGCAGGTCGGCTCCCTATCTGAATTGGTAAGATTCACATAGCATAACTACCTACCCTAGAACTTGAGACTGCATTCCAAACCTACAAATCCCAAATAAAAACAGGTGCCCTTAAAAACTAGGGGCCTTGAAAGAAAGTAAATTAAAATTATATTGAGTCCAGGAATAAAAATAATAGTGTCTACATGCAAAAGAATAAATTTGAACCTCTTCCTCACATCATAAGCAAAAATAAACTCAAAATGAATTATAGACCTAACGTAAGAGTCAAAACCATAAAACTCTTAGAAGGAAATATAGAAGTCAATCTTTGAGACCTTGGGTTAGTCAAAGCCTTCTTAGATATGACATCAAGTACACAAGCAACAGAAGAAAAAATAAATGATTGGACTTCATTGAAATTAAAAACTTTTGGACTTAGATGTAAATCATTAAGAAAGTGAAAAGATAATGTACAGAATGAGACAAAATATTTACAAAACATATATGTGAAGTGAGACTTGTGTCTATCGTGCATAAAGAGCACTTATAACTTGACAATATAAAGACACAAATAATACAGTTAAAGCTGGGCAAGGGGTTTGACTAGATATTTCTTCAGAGAAAATGTAAACAGCGCATGAAAAGATGCTCAACATCATTAGTTATTAGGGAGATTTAAACCAAATCCACAACGAAGTATCACTTCACACACACTAGGATGGACATAATAAGAAAGATAATAAAAAACTGGTGATAATATGGAGAAATTGGAACCCTCATACACTGCTGGTGGGATTGTAAAATGATGTAACCACTTCAAGAAAAAGTCTGGCTGTTCCTCAGAAGGTCAAATCTCGTTCACATATGTCCCAGCATTTCCAGTCCTAGGTATATCCCCAAGTAAAATGAAAATGTATGTCCCACAACAACTTGTACACAAATGTTTATAGCAGCACAATAGTCAAACACTGGAAAAACCCAAATGCCCACCAACCGATGCATAGGTAAGTAAGTGTGGTATATACCTACAATAGAATATTGTATGTACATGTATGAACCTTGAAAACGTTATGTTCCATGACAGTCACAGAAGCCACATATTGTCTTTTTCCCTTTACATTTAGAGATAAAATAGACTAGTGGCTGTCTAGGACAGTAGGAGAAAGATGGGGAGTGGCTTTTGGTGCACAGGATTTCTTTTGGGGGTGATAAAAATTTTCTAAAATTGAGAGTGGTGATGGTTCACAATTTGTAAATATATTAAAAAATATCAAACTGCACACTCTAATGAGCAAACTTTACGGTATGCAAATTATATTTCAATAATGCTGTTATACTTTTTAGGAACATTTTTAAAAGTGCAAAATACCTCTGATTTCATCCAACAAACATCAACTGTGTGTCCTACAGTCAATGACGAAGACGCCAAATAATAATTTATAAAACATAAGCCCAAATATTGTTTTTCAATAAGTTTATTTGCATAGTAAATTAATATCTTACTGCTTGCTAACTTTTATTGCTATAGCAACAAAGAAAATGTGTCTGGTAATTTCACAAAACACAAGTTACTGAGTTTTCCATTATCACATGCATTCACCTCCTTGTTCTTGAGTGATAAATCTTGTAGCTTCATCTTTCCTTAATGCCATGTCTCAGCTGTATGAAAGCAGCATTTTGACCTGTGTATTAGAGATTGCCTTAGACTGGGAATAGGTAAGTCAAAATGACAGGCAAGTTCTCTTCTTTGCAACCAAGTAGTTTCTGCTGCAGCACTAACGCTGTGCAGCTTGTTAGTGATGTTTCTTGTACATAAGGTGATGCTGCCCCTCACGGAAGGCAGTGTCGGAGGAGGCCATGTGATGAGGAACAGACCAGGTACCTGAAATCTAGTTCATATAGGAAATTGTGATAGACTTTTGGCAAAAATGGCCACAACTATTCCCTTCATGTCATCCACATCCCTTACAATCTGATTCTGGTGGTCCTTCCACAGGTACCTGAAATCTAGTTCATATAGGAAATTGTGATAGACTTTTGGCAAAAATGGCCACAGCTATTCCCTTCATGTCATCCACATCCCTTACAATCTGATTCTGGTGGTCCTTCCGTTGAGATGTGGAGTCTGTTTCCCCACAACTTAAATCTGAGCAGGACTGTGACCTAGTTTGGCCAACTGACTTCAATGGAATTGATTATATACCAGTTTTGAACAGACCTCAGGTATCTGGTCTGTGTCATTCTTACTGACTCTAACACACCCGCTGTTTCTCCCACCAGGTTCTCTCCCCACAGGTCTTAACATGACCTGCTTTCTCACCATTTAGATCTCAGCTCAAATGCCTCTTCCTCGTATTAGTTTCCCGGGGTCATAGTAACAAAGAACCACAGACTGAGGTGGCTTCAACAATGAAAATTTATTTTCTCACAGTCCTGGGGGCTGGAAGTCTGAGACCATGGAGGTGGCAGGGCTGGTTATTTTTCAGGCTGCAATGGAAGACATGATCCAGGCCTCTCACTGGCACCTCACTGGTGTCTTCTGCCTGTGTCCCCACGTCTTCTGCCCTATACACCTGTCTGTGTCCAAATTTCCTCTTCACCCTAACACACACACTGTACTGGATTAGAGCCCACCCTAATGACCTCATGTTAACTTGATGACCTCTCTGTAAAGACCCTCTCTCCAAATCTATGCCCATTCTGAGTATTGGGGGCTGGAACTTCAACACATGAATTTGGGGAGGTAGGGACACAATTCAGTCCATAACACTCCCAAAGCCCTCCCAGACCCCTCCCAATTCCACCCTCACGTCATGCAGCTTCATTTCTCGCACAGCACATCCTACTCTCTAAAATCCTATGTCCATACATTGATTCACCTGCTTCCTGCCTGTCTCCCAGTCCTCCTCTCTGTCCCTCACAAGGACATAAGTTCCATGAGAATAGTACTTTCTTGTGTCTTTTCTCTGCTGTGTCCCCAGTGCCAGCTCATATTGGGTGCTTGGTGCAGTTTTGCTGAGTCACAGAATGAATGAATGTATTCATCCAGTTAGTGTTTACTGATGATCTATGGCACTATACTAGACACTAGAGGAGGACTCAAGGTCATAGGGGACGTGGTCCCGCCATCAAGAACAGCTGCACAGCAGCAGAAAGATGTAGTGTGGCTTGGACTGTGAGATGGGTGGAAGGAGAAAAGGGCTGTGTAGTGACAGAACACGAATCCTGAAGTCACTTCTTCAGAAAGCAACGACGTGTCTTTAACAAAGGAAACGCCTGAGGGAGAGAATAACTCCAGGGTGTGACAACGCTTTGAAGCTGGTCCTGACGGGAACCGAGACTGGCAACATTTTGCGCTAGACATGTTTGGGAATGAGCGAGCTCATCCTCAGACACGCTCCATTGGTGAGCAGGGAAAGACGAAAGCAGAGTGAGTTAAGCCGCTGGAGCAGAGAGCAGTTCACCTGCCATCAGGGACTCCACTCTGTGATAAAGAGCAGTGAAATGCCAGGATACAAGATGTGTCTAACACCTATTCGTGCTTGAACTCACTCGTTGATTTCTTTTTACTTTAAATCTTAACTGACAAGTAAAAATTGTATATATTTATTGTGTACATGATGTTTTGACATATGTATACACTGTAGAATGGCTAAATCAAGCCAATTAACATGTGCATAACCTAATATATGTATTTTTTTCTGGTAATTACACTTAAAATCTACCCTTGGCAATTTTCAAGGATAAAATATATTGTTATTAACTGTAGTCACCATGATTTGCAATAGATTTCTTGAACTTTTCCTAGCTGAAATTTGTTTCCTTCGACCAACACCTCCACATTCCCCCTGCCCCCAGCCTCTGGTAACCACCACTTTACTCTCTGTTTCTATGAGAGCTGGCTTGATTTCTTATTTTCCCCAGAGGAGCTTTTCAGTCTCTTACCAGGTAGATGAAACTCTTATAGCAGACTTTTATAAAGTCTTTGTAGCTAGTAGACCATTTTCAGCAGAGCCGACAAAAGTTCACACAGGGAGACTGCCTCCGTTCGACACTGCAGAGCTGTCATAAGAAACTCGGCTGCCAGCCCCATCCCTCGACCAGGAAGCCCGATCCAAGGGGTGGGTGCTATCACCTGTACTTGTGGGCTTTTAACCTTCAGAGGTAATGCTGATGCACCCCTGAGGCTGCAAACTGCCAGGTCTAGATTTTCTTGCAGAGAGGTCTGCTTGCATTTTAATGGCCTTGAGTGAGAGGCATGTGGTGATGGAGTTGGTCTGGAGGCACCACCCATGCACGCACAGTGCATGAGGATCTTGCAGCACTGGGCTCAGAGTATTTCTGTGGAGATGCCACTTTGGCATTTTTGAGTATGATTCTTGGATGCAGAGAATAGTCCAGCATCTTAAAAAATACTCCTTCTCTCTGCAGCCTTCCACACCCCAAATAAATGGCAGTAGAATCTTCCTAATTATGACAACTCAAAAGGCCCTTCACATTTCAAAGTGAGTGAACCATAGTACTGTGACACACGTGCACACACACACGCATGCACACATACACATACATGTACACATGAACATGCACACTTGTGCACGACACATACATGCACACACATGTGCACACATGAACACAGACCTATACACAAACATGCATGCACACATATGCACACACCATGCACACACATGCATACATACACACTTTGAAACTAGTCAAGGTCAAAATGACACACAGTCACAATTATCTCTAAAAAATCCTCCCACAGTTCTTCAGTCACTAGGGTCAGGGTGTGAAAGCCAAGAGGCCAAGAACTATCATCCTTATTCTTTGCTTTAGAACACGGCCTTCCTTTCTCCTAGGCAGTGAAAACTTTGACTTGGAGGGGTGTGTGTGTTTGTGTGTTTTCTGTGGCAGGGAGGAGAGTCTATTTAAGAAAACTAGGATAGAAAAATAATTTTTTATGCTCTTTTCTTGTAATTCCATGCAGGATTCAATTCCATTATAAGCTCAAACTTGAAACAACTGATTAGTTGCAGAAATGTTCATCCTACTGCCCATATGCCCAGCTAAAGTCTGAATTTTGGAGTTTATCAGTATGAAATATGTTTTAGCAAATAAGATTTTTATGTGCTTCCATGGGATAGCTAATTCTGAAAGGTCAAAAGATTGCTTCCTTCAGAAATGATATGCATTTATTCCATGATTAACCACTTTGGTCATTTGAATTGGTTCTAACGAAATACACCCTTACCACTCCTCTAAAATCAGTTTCATTCAAAACTCTTTGCCCAAAGGTTATTTTGGAGTTTTCAAAAGGAACACAACATCAACATTTTAAGGAAGGCAGAATTGCTAACAGCTGCCTTTCCTTTGAAGTAAATGAGGTTTGACAGCAATTCATCTGCAATGAAATGCTGTGTGTGCTAGTTATAAAATCATCCCCGAATTCCACTTTACCTTTTCTTAGGTCAGAAAATAAAAGTCTATGTATTTACATACAAAAGAGCAATTCAGCAATAGCTCAAATACTAGTACTGTAAGAACGCACATTTTTAAAGCTAATAGGAAGAGTAAAATCCATTGCTCCGATGACTGTAGCTGAAAGCTAATTTGAAAGCACAATGGAGATTAGTACTAATCATTAAGCATAGATTGAGGTATTGACAACTGGCTGAAAATAAAAATGTTACAAATTCACACTATATGCTTTGAAAACATCCAAACACTGGACTCACAGGTCTAAGTGTATAGCTCCTACCACGCCCCTCCCAGTGATTTTGTTTGCTGGGGGAGGTACTTTTTTTGCTTTTTTAAATGATGCCAGCTTAGGCATACAACCTCAGTCATTTCTTAAACTCGGGAGATAGTTTTTTTTTTTTTCCTACTTTACCACATTTTCTGGAACACTAAAGTTCACAAATGGTACATTTTGTCAGTAAATTCAGTACACTACACTGGTATCCAAAGGAGTAAATGGATATTTACAAACACTTATGATAAAATAATAGTATTGATCTAAGTAAACACAGAAATAAAAACTTCGTGTATTGGTCTGGCTAGTTAGCTCACTTGGTTAGAGCGGTGCTAACAAAACCAAGACTGAGGACTTGAACCCGGTACCTGCCAGCGGCCAAAAATAAAATAAAAATCCATGTATTAAGAAAGAACCTGTGAAATCTGATCCAAAGACCTTGGGATGCAGGGACCAAGCATTTTCTTTTCTATGCAGGTTTTATCACATGCTTACTAATAAACGTTTGCACTGTGCTGTTTGTGTGCAAGGTGTGTGTTGAGAGCCATCAGAGATACCACACATGCAGTGGTTTGAGGTTTGAGTTTTAATGACATGGATAAAACCCAGCACTGACGGCTGGTTTTGACCACAGCAAGCTGAGCCTGCCCTGTGCTGAGCTATTCAAAAGGAGCCTGGAATGCAACGAAATAACAGCAAAATCAGAGAAGGGACATCCTCTTGTGCTCCACACATGGACCAGCATCCTAGGACCAAGCATCGAGAAATTGAGATATTCTGGTATAATATCCTATCCCAAAAAACCCTCAAGAGAGGAAAAGAGATGTGGGAAGTGGTCACATTGCAGTGGGGATGCAAGGCTGGATTATGTCCTTCTACAGAAGAGTTGACACAGCCAAACTAGAGCTGCCAGGAGTTCAAGAGCAGGGACCTCGCATTCCAGCCTCGGCCCTGCAGAGCCCAGATAGGTCAGCAGTGGACTGCAGCATTCGGTGTGCTGGGAGACGGACATCTGGCCAAGACAGATGAAGTGATCTTATAGAGCTGAACCGATCTCCGAGCTGAATGCTGGATGAAGAGATTAGATCCACCCTCATCTAGTACACTACACTGCAACTCCCCTGCTCCATGTGTTGCTGCCACAACCACCCTGCCCTGTCTCCTGCCACATGCAGAAGTCCAACCCTTTCTTCTCCCTTAAATCCTGGGATTATGAACATACAGAACAGAGGGAGAAGAGATCAAGTAAAAGGAGTCTTCTTGAAGAAACACCCTTTGATCCCATTTCCTGTTCCAACCTTTCATAACCTCAGCTGTCTTTCCATCAAAGATATTTAGAAGGTCAGATAAGCAATGTCACCCTAGTTTTATTTCATGGTGTAGCTGGCAAAGACAAATAACAACAAGAAATAAAGTGGCAGTTTTAAGTCCCAGATGGAAGTTCAAAAGCACTTTCGAACTCCAAAGGAAATGCTGTTTTGCTTTTTTAGCTTTGAAAAGTACAGAATTTTATTGACAAAGACGTCACCCCCACAAATAGGAAAAGGAGTGATGGAAAATTTCATACTCCCACTTGCAGTACTTGAGTTATATAATTACCTCCAAAATCGCAGCTGACATGCCTTCAGAGACAGAGCTGTTCACCATCGCGAAGCAGTTCTTCAGCACCGCGTGCAGATCTTCCTGAGGCATCTCTCCCAGCAATCGTACCCCAGCCACTCTGAAATGACAGGCAGAGCATTTCTACTTCCAGGAATCTCATGGGCAGGGACCTGGGAGAAGGAGAGGGGACAACTGTGGAGAAATACTCTAGATCAAATAGTAAGCTGAATTCATAAAGCGTTCAGTAAAGAAAATGGTATTGGGGTGAGAATCCATTACAGTTCAACCCCTGATGAGGGAGAGGGGGAGCAGGTTAGAGCGTGTTCATGATGATGCCCAGGAGACACATGCTCTCAAAACTGGAAGAGTCAGAGATACAGTTTTTGCCATTTTCTCTTTATGATTTAGAAAACAACCTTTTCCTGATTGCTCTACCTTTTTTTCAAGTATTTTTTAAAAATACTAATAAAGACAATAGAAATAATAAACAGAGATAAATAAAAACACAAAAGCCCAGGTTCCCACCACACAGAACTGACAGATATTTTGTAATACAGGTTTCGCCTTTTTTTTTTTTCACCCAACAATGTAAATCTGCAGCTTTCTTTGACCTTCTTCCTCCTGCCCCCTCCTGCTCCCGTCACCACCACTCTCATGGTTTTGATACATGTTCTTTTACATAATCAGCTATACATTTACATACATGCATCTGCATCTCTGAGCAATACGTAGACCCCTGATGATATGTGTGATAAAGTCAGTGTCACCCAGTCCCCTTTGCTGTTGAGGTGGCCAGTGAGATGTAGCTGGAAGCCTGGGGGCTGTGGGGAGATCACCTTACAAGGGGCTGGCCTAAATAGGAGACGATCTGCTGGATTTGCCCTGTCCCATCTCCCCACTTAAAATGCAGGATGCAATGGAGTCCTTCAGCCACTTGTCACCTTAAGGATGGGGGCCACAGCCTGAGGATGTCAGGACAGAGACAGGAGCCCATGGTCCCAAAGTTTTGATGATGCCCCCACTCTGGTCCTCTGCCAACTACAATTTTATGTGTGCAATTAAACCTCAATTTGTTTAAGGCAGTGCTGTTGGGTCTCTGTTCCTGGCAGATAAATGCAATTTATAATCAATAAACTGACAAAATGCTCTCCATAAAGGTAGTAGCAATTTTTGCCCTAATCAGCAGGGTATGAGAGGGGCAGTTTCTCTCCATTCTTCCAAACCCTCAATGTTTTAAGTCTTTCCAATTTTTGCCAATGTGGCCAGTGACCACACTGTGATCACTGGGAGGATTCAGTGAGGGAATATTTGTGAAGTGCTTGGAGCAGTGCCCGTGACTACATCAATGCCAACTGCTATACTCGTGGGCCACTCAGGTTTCCTCTCCTGCAAAAGGCCTGTTATCCTCTCATCCCTACCTTTCCACTTTGGCTTTTACTTCCCTTGTAAACACTGGATCGACCTGAAAAGAGACAAAGACAAACTTTAGGAAAAGTCACAAATGAGTCTAAGTTCTCCAGAGAATTACATATAATGGCAACAATTCAAAAAAGAAAAACATAAGAAAATAGTAAATAATACCGTGAATCCAGCTATTAAATAATAACAACAATAATAATAGTAATATGGGGAAGAAGAGAGATAAGGTTCAAAAGAAATACGTACACACACACACGCACACACACACACACACATAAATGCTCCTATTTGACTTGTAGGAGAAGAGCCTACTTAAGCCCAGGAGTGGTGGGGGAGCAACCTTCAGACAAGCCAGGGTGGAAAAGAGTCATTCACAGAGACAGTACAATCCGACAGCAACAAAATACTGCAGAGAAAGGCTTTCTTACTTAAATAATGCAGGTGGATTTTGTCAGAAAAACTTTCAGGCAGAATGAGTTGGAAAAAGGATCTGACAAATTCAAATTTTAAACAGGGAGCCTTCTCAGAAACACAATTTTAATGGCAAGGACATGCCCATTGGCTGATGAATGAATACGTATCATGTGTTTATCCAATGAACTATATTACTCAGCCACACAAAGGAAGGAAATAATGGTTTAGGATACAACGTGGATGAACTTTGAAAACATTATGCTATGTAAATTGAACCAGACATAAAAGATCATATATTGTGCGATTCTATTTATATGAAATGCCCAGAACAGGCAAATGTATCAAGACAGAAAGTAGATTAGTGATTATCAGTGTGTTACTAAAAGGTTAATTAGGGGGTTATTGGGGAAATGGGAAAATGGGAAGTGACTGCTTAATGGATACAGGATATCCTTGTGGGGGTGAGGAAAATATTGTGGAATTAGTTAGGGATGATGACTGCCACTTTGTGAATATACCAAAAAGCTCTGGATTGTCAACTTTAAAATGGTCAACTGTATAGCATGTGGATTCTATCTCAATGTAAATAAAAGCCAAGTGCCATCTTCTAACTAGTCACAATCCAATATCCTTGAGTGTGGATTTTATTCCTCCTTCACGCTTGGAAGGAATATGAGTATGTCTCTGGGTTAGGAACTGTGTTTTGTGCCACTGTGTCCCGGGAGACTGATACATGTTTGTTGAATTAATGAGGAAATTGATATCAATTTTCAACATCTGAAATGTTTTCAAACTGATCTGCTATACCGATAATTTTTATTCCTTGAAGGTAGGCCACATGTCTTTAAGCAAACTGGTATGTAGCTGTGTAGAGGCTGGGAAGAGAGGTGGTACATCCTGCGTGGGGCTCTGGAGATGTGGCCAGGTCATATCCCCCCACGCCACCCACTCGCCTCGTGTACATTGATGGACCTCTCTGGGTCTTGGTTCGCTCAACCATAACATGAGAACAATAACAGCACCTAAGGACTGTTAGGAGGATTAAATTAGTTAAAATAGGGCCAGCCCCCGTGGCATACTCGGGAGAGTGCAGCGCTTGCGAGCGCAGCGGCACTCCCGCGGCGGGTTCGGATCCTATATAAGGATGGCCGGTACGCTCACTGGCTGAGTGCAGTGCGGGCG